GATTCATTGTTTGGAAGGGGGAGAAAGCAGCTCAGTCTGCTCTGGCTACAGTCTCTCTTCTCACCACAGGGGAATGCCAGGTCAACTTGAGGTAAAAAGCTCAACTTCTTTGTAAGCAAATCAAGATCTTCTGCAACGCCCTCTTTCATGGTACATGTTGTCAGAAGCCACTTTGTCTCTTTTTGGTCTTTTGAACTCACAGTTATAACTTTGAACCTTGTTAGACCCTCAGTGACTGACTCCTCTTCTGGCTCCAAAACACCATCTGTGGGGACTGAAGATTTCACTTGAAGTCTGGTGTTAACAGCTCCATCTTCACTAATATGTAACAAGGACACGGAGGTGACATTTTTTAAGAAGAGGAGGCTCAAATCTGCATCTGCAATGAAGCTATCAAAAAGCTCAACCACTTTATCTGAGTCATACAGATTATCAGAAATCTCTGATGCTTCATTGCGTAAAGGAAATCTAAAAATTGTCCCACTGAAGTGCTGATCCTCCATGACAACTTTTGACCATCCATGTTCACATACAAGTGAGACTATATCTCTAAATGGTTGAAATTGATCACGCATATTCAGCAGAACTTCTTGGTCTTCAGCATCATCCAAAGACCACCAAAACCCTCCATTTCTCTCTCCAAATATTTTTTCTTGGGGATCCATCATGCCAAGATGCCCTGAACTGAATATACTTGGCACATCTGTGGAGAAAGATGTGTTAATGTTAACTGTTTATGTTTTCCTTGTCATGTGTGTCAATTATAGATAAATGGTAAATAGTTTCACCTGTTGTGTGGTAAACAGAGTTGAAGCCGATTCCAAACCTCCCGACTTTGTTTGGGTCATCACGCTTCACACTCCTTCCAGCCATCTGAATTCCTTGCCAGTCTTCATCAGTGAATGTGGCATTGTTGTAGGCATAGAGAGCAGGACCTTTGCAAAAACAAAACATGCTTATGGTGTATGTTTAAGGTATCTTTGCATTACTTGATACATTCTCTGTAGAAGACTGTTTTCGGAGCTGTGGTCTGTGTGTTTAGGGGGCAGTGCCAGGAGGCTGGCAGAGCTGGGACTGATCTGGCAATTGGTTGGGCTATTTCAATAGCTAGCTGGGTCCAGACGAGAGAGGAGTGCCAGGAGCAAGTCAGCTGAAAAGCTGAGGACTTGGAAAAATTATAAATGAAACAAAATGAAGCCTATCCTGACTGCAAAGGGGCATTAAAAAGGATCCATCTCTACACAGGTTGGCAGTCTGTTGCATAACCATTCAACCTCATTGTCACACCTATGGCCAGTTTAGAGTTGCCATTTAACCGATAAGTATGTCTTTGGACTGTTGGAGGAAAACAGTGTGGAGCCCTTCTGGGGCCCTTCTGTGTGGAGCTTACATTGTTTTTTCTGTGCCAGTTTGGGTTTCCTGAGGGAATCCACACTGGCACAGAGAAAACCTTACCACTGACCACTGTTCTATTATAGGACATAAAAGTAGTACCTGGACAGAACCAGGGCTACAAAAATTTTAAAAAGACAACTGAATTTTATTTTTTATTTTTCCTGTGAAGCTAAAACTGTCAATTAATTTATATTTTCTATATTCATCTTTTTTAAATGAAAAAACAAAACAAAAAAAAGACTGTTTGAAAACTTCAGTTTTCAGTGAATACCTTGGTATTTTCCCAATTCTTCCGTCCAAAGGCTCTCTGTCCCATAGCTCCGCTCATCATGAATGAAAACCACTTCTGTTGCTCCAGCATCATCTGCATTTTGAATCAGTTCCTGATTGACAAATAAAAATAACATAAAAGTGATATGATTGATGACTTTGTTCCAAGAAGTGTCCCATCTCTCCAGTGAATCAGCATACCAAACACTGAGAGTGGCTCATCTAAATGGGATCTAGCCCTGTTTCTATTAGAAATTAAGGTTTCCCACATTAATGTTAAAATACAGTGAAAGGAGTTTCAGTTTCTGTTGTTAATAATTATCTGCTGTGTACAGTTGCACATATTTCATTAACCTTTTATTTATCTCTTATTCTTTATTTTCCAACAATGACAACCAAAAGTGATTTACGCTTTGTCACACGTTCATTATGTGTATTGATTTAACTAACTGGTAATAATGAAGGCTACATATATTTTATTGTTGAACTCTACTGCATTATATTTTTTCATATTTCACCTACCTGAGTGACATATGAAGGATATCTGATAAAATGTCAGCTCAGTGTGGTCAAATACTTAAGAGCATCATTCTACTGGGTACTCAAAAATTGCAAATAGCAAAAAAAAATCTGAAACACCCGAATGAACTAGTATTACGTTTAAATTTACAGTCAACATCTAAGTTTCCATTTAGCCCACCAAGTCAAGTATCTAAGGAATGTTGCTTGCAATACATGTTATGAAGCTCCTTGATGCAAATTTCGGGTCTGCCATAATTTTCTATTTAAATAAAATGTATTTATCTGGACACCAGTGTTAATTTCACTAACAAATCATTTTTGACACGTTTTCTTTTTATCAACAAGCTTTTTTGTCTGATGAGAACAAGATGTTGTCTAAATAAAAACTAATACATGAGGATAAAAACCTATGATGAAATGTATTGATATTTTTGTCAACAAATAAAAATAAGATGAAAATTTTCTGGAGAGATGAGATCAGAACCAATCAGATCATATTAGAACTAATTAAGTTGTGTGGAAAGGTGGGAGGAGTTTTCAAGTGATCCAATCAGAAGTAAAGTAAAATGTCAACACTTGGGAGCAAGAGATAAGCAGACATATGGACACATTTTATACTTGATTGCAAGGAAAATAAGGTGCTTTGTAAAGCGTGCAGAGTAACTTTTAGAAGTGAAAACACAACAAACCTATATACTGTTTTGTTTTACTCTACTTAATCAACTTTAGATTTATTTGTTCTAACTAAAACTAAAAGAGTTTAGGTGTCTAAATTATCACAACCTAAATGAGGCTTTAGTCAAATGACTATGACAAAGATGAAATTCAAAAATCAAATCAAAATTTGCTGTCAAAATGAACAAATTGAAACAATAAAAAAAAAGCATGTCACTTGTGCTCACATAACAACACAAATTTGCAGCCTCAACAGAAGACAGAGCTTCAAATATGAACGTTACTGCAAAGTGTTTTTGTCACTGTAAACTACATATTTTGTTTTCTGTTCTCATGCTGACCTCCCATAAGGAACCCAGTATGAGTGTTGGTCTCTTTTTCCCCTCTTCAACTTGCCCATTGTATTGTACATTTCATTGTTTTTTCCAAATGTTATGTCCATGTTATGTCTTTGCTATATATGTATGATCGGGGGGGTCCAATTTCACTGCAGGTGTAAACACTGCATGTGACAAATAAATGGTAAATGGCCTGTATTTGTATAGCGCTTTACTAGTCCCTAAGGACCCCAAAGCGCTTTACACTACCAGTCATCCAGCCATTCACACACACATTCACACACTGGTGATGGCAAGCTACATTGTAGCCACAGCCACCCTGGGGCGCACTGACAGAGGACACAACGACCGAGACTGGCGACGACCGACCGAATAAAAGGCTTGATTGATTGATTGATTGATTGATTGATTGATTGATATTTGATCCTTTCATTATGAAATATCATCTCTTCTTTTTAAAACTGACCAAAATTTGTTTATGAATTAATGAGTTAAAACCATGAACATTATAACATTACTCACTGAGGTCCATCATGAGGCCTTGAGCTGAGCATATTTTGCTATCCTCATTTTGATGTTTTTAACTCATAAATGTACTTGTGAAGCATTCACTGAGGTCAGGACCAAGGGCCTAGTTCCCGCAAATTTCTAAAGAATAACAAATATTTCTGCAACCCTATCAAGTATTTTGTGAAGTGGCTGATATGATGGGCTTTTGGCAGAACATTATACCAACCTTCAAAATTTGTCCACCATCTGGATATCGACGTAGAATATCTTTCAGGTAATCAATGAAAGGCGGGGCTGTGGCCCCAAAAGAAGTCCTAAAAAAAATTTAAAAAAGCAAAATTAATGGTAAGAAACTAAAGAACATATAGTCTGATGTAAAAGTAACCCAAAGTGAGTCATCCTGATACATTTATTATAGGTGTAGATAATATTATACAGGGCCGGCCCGTGGCATAGGCCGTATAGGCAAATGCTAAGGGCGCCGTCCATCAGGGGGCGCCACGTCAGTGCCACAAATGTTGAAAAAAAAATTGGTACTATTATTTCTAAATACAAAAAATAATCCCACGTTAATTAAAATGCAAAGTAAAGCTTATTTAATAGAAATATTATTTGTTACAACATTACACTACACTGCTGATGTAGGGGGGCGCCACCTAAAATCTTGCCTAGGGCGCCAGATTGGTTAGGGCCGTTTCTGATATTATATTAGCATACGAGTATATAATTAGTACATAATTTTAGGGATTTGGTTACAACTATACTATTTCATGGAGATCATTGAAGTTGTGCACTCAAAGACTGATAAAAACATTTCATATAGGGGTTTGAATATTTACACACTGAGCAGTAATTCACACTGTGTGGGAAAACAATTCCATGTTCAATTACAGAGATAAGATTTGAAGTGTAGGGTGTAACCGTGCCCCTCCCTATAAACAGGCACACAGTGTATGAAGATTACTATAGTTCACTTTCATCATCATCATCATCATCATCATCATCATCATCATCATCATCATCATCATCAATTGCTTTCACCATGCAAATTCAATAATACTGTCAGTGAAACATTAGAAATTGACAGTTGAATTTCAGTTGGGAAGTAATAGTTTACCTTATCAGAATCATAAACCTCCATGCATAATTTCCTTTTATCAATACTGACATGTTTTTTTCAGTCACTTTTGAATCACAGAATAATCGTCTTAAAATGGTAATGCAGCTACACTGAGTTTATATTTAGGAGGTAATGAAATGGTTGCAATATTGCTGAAAGCACTTTTTTTTTTAATCACAGAAAACTAACCAGTTGCCAGTAAGGCAACTGATAAATAATCTAACCTACAAGCAAACTGAAAAATAACATTAGTGCCAAAATCATATCAATATCCATCACTACTAAAAATTCAGGAAGTGCTGCATATCATATCGTACCACTTTATTTATGAAGCACTTTTAAAAACAACAATAACAGGGCAAACCAAAGTGCTGTACAACAGCACCAAATATAAAAGACAAACACAGGCCGGAAGGTAAAAGATATAGAAACATGAAAGACCGGTAGCAGTTAAACAAACATATACATAACATTAAAATACACGAGACTTTAAGATCGCAACTGTCCCTGAAGGGCAAGGCTATACTAAAATATTGATGTTTTATCTTTTTTTTAAAAAATTTTTTTATTACAGCTTGCTTATATCAGCCTGTTTTTTTAACAACAAACTGATGTCTGACCTTCGATCTGGCTTCTATAAGCTGTAAAAACGTAACATTTTAGGGTATATTCATGCAGTGTGTGATTTAGCAAAGTTTTATCATTGTAATGTTGTAAGGCATTTATGTAGAAAAAAGGTCAACTTTGACCTTGGGCATAACAATGGAGGTCAAGCTCAAATCCTTAACCAACCTAGGTAGTTATGTCATGCAAGGTCTAGCAATCCATAAAAAAAAATGTGGATAATATAATATTTTCACAGATTTTCACATTTGCTCCGACCTTGACTTCGACCTGATAGACTGCTAACAAACACACAGACAAACAAAATGGACCTATTACACAATCACTCCCTTGAGGGCAGGGTGGGGTAATAAGGCGAACTCACCAAGCTTTCTTCTTTGCTTTCAGACTCATAATTCTGGGTTTGGTCCTTCATGGGTTTGAAACTTCATGGTAGTGTGACACATTCTAAAAATTAGTTTTTTGTAATTATCTGCAAATATTTCCAATTATTAAACTAAAACAAAACAAAATTATTTTTAAAAAGTTGCATACTGTAACTGTTATTTAAAATAAAGCAAGCAAAACTCTGTCAGGGATTTGGTTTAATTCTGCAAACTTTTCAGTACTATTCCAGATAAACAGCCAACTTCCTGGAAGACAGAAAAACAATCAAATATTAATCACCTAAAAAGCCCAACACTGAAAGCTTGAGTTTTTGTTTTTTGTTTTTTTTATTTGTACTTCAAAATTGCTTTTAGACACAAAGCAATTAGGGGTGGGCGGTACAAACGATCTGAATTTGGCCGAGGGTAGAGATACCGCCCTGCGGCGATTGCGCGTGTTGATGGTGTCATCAAGCTGCACCTGTTTTGGTAGGAAGCATGGGGAGGAGGAGGAGGAGGAGGAGGTCCTCATAAAGAAGACTGGTGCGATGCCGGCCATGTGAACCTGGTTTGGGTTTAAGCAGTCGGATGTTGAGCAGAAAAATATCATCTGGGCGACGGTAATAGCGAAGAGAGGAAATACAAGTAATTTGTTTTATCACCTCAAAACGAAGCACGTTTTGGAATTTGAGGAAAGCCAAAAACTACGCCTTCCACAAACGCTCAGTCAGTTAAGTGGAAAGAAAAAACGTGGCTTTACACCTAGCCCTACACACCAGCAGACTGATATTTTCCAAGCCTTTTCCAAAGGCACTCTGTATGAGAAAACGAATCAGGGGTGGATTGATATTACAAATACCATTATGTGTACTTGTGTAAGAACAGGGTGTCGTTTCTTACAGTGGAGAAAAGCGGCTTTAAAAATATGATTAAGACACTCGATCCACGTTTCAAGGTACCTGACCGCAAACATTTTATCCTAACTGAAATGCCCAAAGTTATGACTAAGCCCGCAAGCAAGTGAAGAAAAAACTCCGGACAATTTAGAATTTTGTTTTACTGATATTTTACTTGTATTTTTTTTAATTCAAACATTTTTGCGCATTTATCCTCATTTATATTTGTTATCTAAGAATTTTCTGTTACATTATTTGGAAAAAGATCTGTTACATCTGAAAAATTATTTGAGAAGTTTTGTAATTTAACTTTTTTTTCTTTCAAAGTTTTGCACAATAAATGTTCTTAAAATGGCATTCTATACTTTTTTGAAGTGTGTTTATTCTTCTGCAATGTATCTGGTATGTGAGTATGTTCAGTCATGTACAGAAGAAAAGAATATATGGCAATGTATGTCGCACATGTTTCAAATTATATCGCAATATGGATTTTAGGCCATATCACCCAGCCCTAAAAGCAATGGCACAAAAGCTACACAACAGCCACATAATTATTTGTGGCTTTTTAGGAGTATATTACACAGAGTGGGAACTGCAATTTACTGATGATATTAAAATATTAAAATTATAGTACCTCGCTCGTGAAAGTGAATGGTCCCATCTGTTCCCGTGATAGTAGTGATGGAACATTATTCTGCTTTATATAAAGACCGCAAGTGCCCAATCAAGACGTCGCACGTTGGTTCCAGTCAAGTTTGGTCCCGTTTTCTCCGTTATAAATTTGGAAACGAAACTAGAAGAAACAAAAGGAGCCATTCTGGTATTGTTTTCTCTAATGTTACCGCTGAAACGAAACTTTCTGAGCTCCAACAGGTTAACCCACTATCTGTTGACGTCCCACCGCTCGCTAGGTGATGCTGCAAACCCATTTAAAATGGTTTTGGGGAAGGGGGCTTTTTCAGCTTTATTGGACAGACACAGGTTTTTGAAACATTGGGGGCTTAGCCCAGCCCTAAAATCTCCTGGTTTTTCAATAGATAGCAGTGTCATTCGTTAAGTAACTTATTGGAGATGGTTTATCTGAATTTCAGGATCGGGACCACACCTCTATACACGCCCCTCCCGGTTCTTCGGGTTCTTCTCTCAGAAGTGGGTGAGACTGTACTTAAGTAGTTTTCAGGTATCTATATTTTACTTGAGTACTTATTAACTTTTTACTTATACTCCCTACATTTTAACACAAATATATTTACTTTTTACGTTTTACATTTTCATAACGGATCCGTTACTTTTGGTTAAGCGCTGTCATTTATAACGTTTATGTCCGGGAGTTAAAGTGGATCGGAAGGAGTTCATATGATGTGTTTTAAAAATTGTGTATTTTCATTTTGTGAAACATTTTGTGAAAGATCTTGGATTTAGAAGCAGTTTTTCACCAGGTGCACCAAGACAAATTTGACCAGGTTTTGCCAAAGAGTAACAGTATGTGAGTATTTACAGCAGTTCAACTCAAAGCTGTTGGCTAGTGATGTGCGGATCGATCCTGAAATATCCTTTCCTCCGATACCAGTCATTTATGTTCTAGAATCGATTCTCACATTAAAATATCGATATTTTTTTTAGTAATTTAGGGTTAATTTGTAGTTTATCATTAACAGCAACACAGTGGAAAGAAACTATAACATTCGGATTGTCTACATTCAAAGGAACTACTTCCTCTTCCGCCTTTCATAGTCATGTGCGAAATACGGCTGTATAAATGGCTCGCAGCCCCTTGGCGCGCGCACTCACAACAATGGCTGAGCCTAATTGTGCAGATGTATTTTACCTCCACAAACAGCTGAGACATGGTTTGCGATACATGTGGCAAAAAAAAGTGCTCCAAGAGTGAGGTGTTGTGGCTATACTTTCCCAACCTTGAGACC